GTGCCAAATTTTCCATGCAAATTTCATAATTAGCGTTGCATGGTCTTCGGCGGCTACTGTATATGCTAAGCACTTACGTCGTATTGCCTTTTTTGCTCATTCGGCGTGCTCATTGATGCATAATGCTTTTATTTTCCATATTCCATCAATACGTATTTTATTTTTTTGGAAAACAAAATATAGAAACTAAAGGAACTGACCTACATTCACGCTGAGGGCATCATGACCGGTGAACTCAAACACGGACCCCTGGCCATGGTGGATAAAGATACGCAGGTGATCATGGTGCTCACCCGTGACCGTCTGTATGAGGTCAGTTTCCAACCGTATTCTGTTTATGTCCCCCCGCCCTTTCTGTGGGCCCTTTTTGGCTTCCAGCATGTGCGATTTTGGTACGATTTTTTTCAATGCAGTGCCTCCCGGCTTCTCCATTTTTGATGGGTTATCTAAGGCTGTCACTCGCTCGCTCTCCCTCTCTTTGTTCAGGATGTAAAAGGTCTGTGCCAGTTCAGTGTTACCGAGTTGACTGGACACGTCCAGTGTAGGGATCATCGAAGAACCGTACACATGAGAAGAATCAGACCCTACTGGCGTTCTGATGGATCAGCGTATTTCCGAAATGCTGGCCTTAAGTTTAACTACGTAATGTTCTGATTCGAAATCTGTTGCGTTAATCCAGGTGTGTGCCATATCAAACTCCATTACCCAATCCCGGCTACGTGCTTATAGGTCACTTTCCTTCTTCTTCTTCTTCTTCTTCTTCTTCTTCTTCTTCTTCTTCTCCGCCAAGAGCTTATGGTCAGGAGCGCTGCATTGAGGCCTGAATTTGTCCCATTTAGTTTTTAATCGCTTAATTATACTCAATTGGAGTAAGAGGCGTTTTAATGTCCTACAGCATTAAAAACCTTAATGCATCCGAGACCAACAAGACAAGTTGCTCCATTTCGAAAATAATCCCTCCCTCCCTTCTTCCTCTTGCTCTCCTTTCTGAGCATAAACTGTACAGGCACCCTCCAGAGTCCCATTACACTGCTCTTCTCAGCCAATTTTACCAGGCAACCATGTTCTATTACAGTAGACCGCTTCAACCCCCCCTCCACCCCCGATAACTAGGGTCGAGATGTGTTGAGGCCAGTTGGCGGCAGGCCTAGGGGCGTTTTCGGCTGCGCCAGTCACCTGTGCCTGATCCCACCTCCGATCTTTATGTCTCTGTCTTGACTTCAGGCGCAAATGGAAGGGACAGTGCGGTAGATGCAGCGCGCAAGTCTGCTTTCACTTAAAAGTAATCCATCACGCGCAAGTCACCGTCTCTGCACCACTCTTTGGAGTATGCAGGGGGCATAATCAAAACCGATGATCGAACTATTCCATTCCTGCAATTGTGGACGCTTTTCGTCCCAACAAGTCCGAAGCCAAAAAGCGCCCGCTCAATGCTTTCCTGCACAAAGTGCTGTTAGTTTTGGCCAGTGAGGGATGCCTATGGTTTATGTCCATACAATTTATATACGCACGTACGATCGATGAGGTCTTTGGTTTAACTCTGCAGACTAAACAGGAAAGTATAAGAAATGGCTAATGTCTTGAAATAAAACCAGAGTCCTACTCGTTAATGATATACTGCAATCACCCTACACATACTGACCTGCCTACAGAAGGGTGAAACTAGATCGACCTCGGGTCCTATTCTTGCAAAACTTGTCGATACGAATCACCGAGTCGATCCTAACGAAGCCTTTCAGTTTATCTTCCGGAGACCAGCTAACTCCTCCAAGGGTCTGCGTCAACGGATGCTAGAAACAGCCGAAGTCGTTGCCACATGGTTGGCGAATCCGGTGCTTTGTTGTCAAAAAACGCTAATATAGGCACTATTACTTCCGTGAACAATGTCAGGTGGCGATATATCGTCCTCACTTCCTAGTGACAGTTGTTGCCTCTGTGCAAGAGAGCAATTTTCATTCCACTTACCCGATCCATGACCGATCCTAATTTTTCCCCTCCCCCAATGCGATGACCTCTACATGCCGGTCTCGCCATGCAAACCGCGTGGAAAGGATAGTTATCATCCAAAGACGTTTATTAATCCTGTCCAGTTGTACCATTTTAGTTATCCATGCTGTTATCATTATTATTATTTCAGAAAACCCTCAACGCTCTGCATGAAGTCAGTGCCAGACAGGGACAACCGATTGTCATCTGCAACGAGCCTGACGCGCACGCGAAAAACCTCAGCCGGCGCAACTTTGTGATCCCCCAGACCGTGGACTGTCTGCAGAGCATTCTGGCCATCATTCCGCTGCAGCTGCTGGCCTTCCATATTGCCGTCTTGAAAGGCCTCGATGTACGTTAACTCTCTTTTACTACAGGACAAGGCAGTTGAGAAAACATAACTCACTTCCTGCAGTCAGAAAGCAGGCAAAGTTTGCGTTGGTCTCGGTTACCTAAGCAAATTCCTCCGCCATTACTTCTTGAGCTAATAACCATTACCTGTGGCGATACAAGTTTTCTTAGAGTTACTTTTTAACTGGAGGCCTCGGAAGCCAATTCGGAATTGTCTGCAATCTCTGTTTCCAGATTGTATAATTGCCGTCTGTGACGGGTTACTACTGTTGACTAAAGGGTTTCAGAAAGTCCATAATTTGTCTTCCAAAAATTTGTCTATTCATCGTTGGCGTCATGCCAGTGCAGGCGAGGAGAGTTTCCATTGAAAGGGAGACCATTAGCTTAGACAGACTGTGATGGCATACCGTCAACCTGAGTAAGTCTCTCTGGGAATGTACGTTGAATTGAGCAGTCAGCTTATGCTGCTTTGGCTGCTTGTGCATATCGCTTTATTTACAACAATTCCTGGTTTCCACATTATCCGCCTCTTCCTCTACGACGAAAGTTTTAAGGTTGAATGGATTACATGAAGGCTTTTATCCCCTGCATTTATTTTTGATTATTAAGTCTCCTTCTGACTGACTTCAATTATGCTTTCACTTTTCTTACTTTTAGGTGGACTGCCCAAGGAATCTGGCTAAGTCAGTGACAGTAGAGTAATGGTTACAATTCCGTCGCCACGGAGCCCCCTCCCTTTGCACTCGTTCTTTCGCACCGCACAAATCTGTTGCTGTTTTTTGTTTATGGCCGATTTTAAAAATATTTTACAAATCAACCCGTTGAATTGCGTCTCGCATCACATTCCACGCCCTGCTGCTATCGTGGACCTGGCGCGCTTTCTAAAATTGCACTTGTTACACATTTATTAGTGGTTTCTCTATTCGCTCATTTATCAGCAAAATTAAAGTCATTGCACAGTCAGTGATGTGTTTATATTCACACAGGCCTTTCCTGTCTCAGGAATTGGTGAGTAAGGGGAGGGGATGCGGCAGCGTTGGAACCTGATAGGAGATTGGAGGTTCTTAGAATCCGTACTTTTGTTGGATGCGTCTTGCAGAGGACTCTGGTGTTTGGAATGTTGGAACTGGATGTACAGTGTCGGTACGGTCTTTATAGTAGAGGCGATGACGTTGGGCCAACTAAATATTATCAAATAGGAAAAAAGTAAAATGTACACAAATTTTATATGGCTCCTCCAGAGGTTCTTCTTCGTTTAAAAACATAATAAGTACAAAGAACTAAATTCAAGAAGTGGTGCTGTCGAAGTGTCGTTATTTCGTACTAAATCTATCAGCTTGCAATTCTAACCGGGCGCAGGCAGATGAGGCGGCTATGCAGTTGGTCTGCACCGCATCTTTGATTTTATCATCCCAGATGATCTTGCGAGTGCTGATGTTGTTTCATAGTTAATCGTCGAGTACCGATTATAGAAATGTTTTGCATATACCTGCGGTGCTACTGATAAATCAGATTTGGTTTTTCACAGCAATGACGTAGAACTCGTTGCGCTATAAATAAAGGCTACTCAAATGTATACTTCCGGAAATTACCCAAAATCCTGAAAGTTATGTTTGCTATACAACCAGGAATATGAGGCGCTAACGTCACACCTGTCTGAATCAAACCAGAAGTAGTAATTGAGTGATCTGCTTATGCTGCTATTGTACGTATGTATGGTCAAAATGCAGGCCAATGCGTAGAATACATTGTTCCAAGTATATAAACAACATTGTTTTGACGAAAAGCTAACTAATATGGGTACTATATAAGTCCGTTGACTTCTAGGGCGATTGCTATTGATAAAGAAATTCTGTAAAAAACTGAAATCGTTCGAGCATTGACAACGCATATATAGTTACTGGTTAAAAAGCCTCAGTAAATGTTACACCGAGGCCATGTTTATCACATCTACGCTTGGGCCGTAGGCTTATACAAAAAGGAATGCCAGAATAAGTAAAATTTTGTCCAAGGAACGCAAATGGACAAACCTGTTCAAATCGGCGGAGCTGTTCCATTCTATCAAAATCAGTGTTGAGTAACTCGAAATGAACTCTGTCCAAATATCGGTCTCTTCCTCGATTGAGGTTACTCAAGAAAACCTCGGGGTTATGTGAATAAAATGATGGGTAACATCCGCCAGTTGCTAGTGGCGCCCGACTGTTACGAAGAGCTTGGTTACGTGCATCCTGGAAATGTTGGGCTGTCGCTGCACCGTATGTCTGAC